CGTCGTCTTTTTTGTTTTCATGGCCGGCGCTCTCAGCGGTGGGGATGAGCGCTGAGGCGATGGTGAACTCCACACTCGGCTACCTGCGGGAGGGCGAGCTGGTGTACATCGCCACCGACGAGGAAAACTACGATTTCTTCGAACCGTTTCGCGAAAGGTGCGACAAGAGAGCAAGTCGGGATAGACCGGCTCGTATCGAAACGCCTTCGCCCTGGCGTCGTTGTTTTTCAAGCAAACCAGTTCGTACGGCAGACAGCAAGACATGTTCGCAACAAGTGAATACCACAACCGATCCGCGAGAACACGGCTGAGCACAACAAGCGGAACAAAGGTTATTTATAGAACAAACGAGTGCTGTCTTTTATTTGCCTGTCCCTTAAATGCCATCCGTTGCAACGAAGTACGCACAAGATCCCGAACACCCTTAAGCTGTATCACACCCAGCACTTTGCACCCGGGGAAGCTGACAGATGGGCTGCTCTCACCAGATTTTTTTCTACTTCCCGCGGACGTGTCCCCCCCCCCCCTGCCTTTCTTAGATTCGAGGTGCGTTTCCTGGCCGATTTCGTCGAAAAGGCCGGGCTCAGGGGGGTTCCGTCGAATCAGCTAGGTATGATCGAGCAGGTGGTGATCTCCCACGGAAGAATCTTCACGGGAACGTTCTACTCCTCCTTCTCCGCGCACGTGTTCCGGCACCGGCTGTATCTCGGGAAGGTGGGGTGGTGTGTTCGTCAGATTCTGGTGTTGGCGTCGGCGTTGTTGATGTGACCGTTTGCTGTTGCTGCTATTGCTCACGTCACTGCTGTCGTTGTCGATGTTGCTGATGTTTTTGATGATGTTACTGCTGCTGCTGCTGCTGCTGCTGCTGCTGATGATGATGATGATGATGATGATGATGATGATGGTGATGATGATGACGATGATGATGATGATGATGCTTCTGTTACTCATATCACCGGTGTCTTGGTTCGTCATCATCATCACGTAGAACAGACCCGCTCCGGTCTCGGTCGTATGTATATCCTTTTACAAACCTTCGTGCCCCCCCCCCC